CCTCAATCAGAAAAGGACGCCACAAGGAAAGAAAACTGTAGGCCGACCGCCCTTCCAGTGCAGAAGCACAAACTGGTGACAAAATACTGTCAAACTCAACTCAGCCCCTGGTGAGAAGATAGGCCAGGACCAGTGTGCCTCGCCCAGGATCACGGCCACTTCCATGCTCAAGGGCCAGCCTGTGACAGGCCACGCGAGTGCACAGAGCGCAAAGCCCAGCCGCAAGTACTGGAATGTGGGGACGAGTACATGGTGTACTTCATCCATGGCATACGTTAAGGGCTCTGAGTGGCAGGCCCTGCCCTCGTGCTAGGCACAGAGAGGGCGTGAGCGGCAGGTTGCTTACCCCGTAGACACACCCTGGGTGTGAGGCCATGTGTGGCTGTCCCTGCACTTGCTCCACGGCCCACTCCTCGATTGGTCGCTGCAAGGACAGTTAGCAGACATTGCACTGGTGGCTGCCTGTAATCTGCTTGGCTGCTGCCTGAGTCTATATCCATGGTAACTGTGCAATGAAATCAGACCTGCTTCCTGCTTGGTCCCCCGAGGTCTGGATTAGCGACTCCGCAGCCACACTCTCCTCTACTATGTTCCGTGGACCGCCTCACTGGACGAGAGAGCCCACTCACTGGAAGCCCAGTGCCCGCAAAAGAAACACTTGTGGTAGAACTGTGTCCCCAACACGGTTTAGCTAAGAGCTGATCCTGGTACCAACTCAGTGGGAAACTGAGCTGTTGCAGAAGTATGTAGTTAATTTAAGATTAGGTAGTATCAGGATAGGTGGCTCTCGATCCATGTGCCTGGTGTCCTCGTGAGAAGAGTGGAGACACGGGTACACAGGGAGCGCCACAGGACAGAGGGGTCAAGAGATACAGACAAATTTGTTGTATTTTTTCTTTTAAACAACATTCCTGGAAAACTAACAGATCTGAATAGTTATTTCTCTGAAGATGTGCAAGTGGCCCATTAGCACGTGAAAAGACGCTCTTCATCATTAGCCACTAAGGAAATGCAAATTAAAACCCCACCTTGACACCACTCAGCACCCACTGGCCGACCAGGGCAGGGCAGGTGCTGGCAAGGATGTGGGTACCCTGGAACATCTGCATGGCACAGCCCTGTGGAAGGTCTGGTGTTCCTAAGGCTGCCAATCAGAGCTGCCATCGACCTGATGACTCCACTCACAGGTGTACACCCAGGAGAGACAAAAACCTGTGTATGAATACGCATAGCACCTAGTCATAGTAAAGACAAAGTGGAGAAACCTGAACGTTCACCAGCTGAGGAGTGGCTAAAACAGCGATCGAGCCGCACAGCAGATGCTGCAACTCGGCGAACTTTGAAAACACTGTGCTAAGTAGACAGCCAGACGCAGAGGATTACTGCATCGTGTGAGTCCATTTACACCAAGTGTTCAAGAGTCCTCAAATCCCTTATAAAGAGAAAAGGCAGACCAGTGGTTTTCAGAGTGGGAGGAGGAGAGGGGAATTATCTGCTGATGGTCTGGGTCATCTTTTTAGGGTGAAGAGGCTGTTCTGGTTTAGACAGCGGTGATGGTGGTGCCAGTCTGTGAATGTACTGGAGGCCATTGCAGTTGGGCTTTAGAGGGATGGGGTTTAGCTTAGGGGTAGAGCATGTGCTTCGCATGTGCAAGGATCAGGGTTCAATCCAGCACCAAAAACAAAGGAGGGGAGAAGGCAGACGCTCCTCGTGCGCAGTCTCCTCGCGTGTGCTGTGTCTGCTTGCACCTGTGCATCAGGCTACGCTGTGAGGCCTCTCCCAGCTGTACCTGGAGACCTAAGGGCCGTTATTTATGAAGAGAAGCGATTCCTGGCCGCCGGCGAGCCTGCCTCCCCGCCTAGCTCCCGACAGCATAGGCTGGTGGCCAGGCTGGCGGTGCCCCGTGGCCCTGCCTGACATGTACGTGTGGCTGTGCTCCGTGTCTCCTCTGCAGCACCACGCTCCTGTTCTATGTGCAGAGCGGGCCTCCCGCCCAGGTCCTCAGAGCCGCCAATGTGGCCCGAGCCCTGCACAGGCGGCTGTCGCGGGAGAAGGCCGACTTCTTGCTTTTCAAGGTCTTGAGGGTGGACACAGCAGGTATGTTGCGTTCTGGAATCTTCTAAAAGAATCAGACTTGCCGGTGGTGGATACGATATGGCTTGCAGGCACAGGGAGAGGAGTGGGTGGGGACACCCAGGGACTTGTTCTGCACTTACTTCTCGGGATGTTTCCTGCAGCACCCATCTGCCCACAGCCGTGTCTTAGAAGGAGATAGAGAGCAACAGCAGGCAGGGTCTCTCTTTTTGTTTTTTTAGAGAGGGTCCTCTGTGTTGCCCAGGCTGGTCTTAAACTCCGGGGCTCACGCTCTCCCCTTGCCTCCGTCTCCCAAGTGTCAGGATGCAGGCATGTGCCGCTGGCCTGCCCGCGACACAGCTTCGGTGTGCCTCCCACGTGGACCCTGCTCTCAGTGCCTGCTGGCCACCCTCCAGGACACCCACTGGTCCACAGTCCACAGTCCTGTCTTCATCTCATGAGCAATATGAATGCACGTCACGCTGAAGTGGTCATTTCTGTGAGGGTCACAGGGACATGATAATATTTGGGCAGTAAGATTTATTTCCAACAAATTTATTTCCAACAAATTCTCCAATAAACTGTTATTGACTTTCTTCATTATAATGTAGAGTAACTTGATGTAACAATATCTTCTTTTTTTCTGGCTACAAAGTAATATTTATAGTTGTGGGAAACGTGGACTATCCAGAAGACACCGAGGAGGAAAGAATCTTCCAGATGGTGAAGTCTAGAATTCACACCACTCAGAGATGACTCATAATCTCTGCTATTTCTCTCCAGTTGCTCCATCTCTGTGAACATGTAATGCAATCAGGATGATTTGATGTCTGTCTTTGAGACCTGGGGATTGAGCCTGGGCCTCACTCATGCTAGGCAGCGCTCTACCACGGGCCGCACCATGAGCCGCACCCCCAGCCCCGCCGTCTGTTTTAACTGTGCTTTTAACTTCAGATATGGTCATTTTCTCAACTAACGCCTTTCAGCTTCCCGTTAGGGAGATGCTGGTGGCTGTGTGGCGAGCCTCCCTGGGCGTGATCTGCAGTCATGTGACCCGCCCTGTATCCATGGACTTTAGGGTTGATTTTCAATCATGTTACAATGCAGATGTTGTATCCAGGGAGCTCTGTGACATTCCCAGTCAGTCTCTCAGAATCCGCTTTCCTGGGCCAGAGGTGGCACGTGTTGGCTGTACGGTGTGGCTTCTCTGCCATTTGCTTCCTGATGAGGAGGTCGCAGGTCCTCGGTCCAACCCCACACGAGTGCTCAGGGCCTATGCTGCTGGGTGCCGAGCAGGGAAGCCAGGGCCTTCCCTGCGGCCCTCAGCGCCCCGCCCCTTGCAGGCTGCCTTCTGGAGTGTTCTGGCCACGGCCGCTGCGACCCCATCACCAAGCGCTGCTCCCAGCTGTGGATGGAGAACCTGATCCAGCGCTATGTCCGCGACGGGGAGAGCAACTGTGGTGAGTCCTGGCACTGAGGTGGCCGTGGCAAGGAGCTGCGGGGCCACCGTCCTATCCCAGAGTCCTCCCCAGGGCTGCCTTCTGGCTTATGCCTCCAACCTCCCCGGGAGGAGTGCTCTGCGCCAGAGCCGCTTGCCAACCCTGGCCGGCAGCTCTGAGAAGGGGCTGCTGTGGCCTCAGGCCACGTTTCCAGATTGCACCTCCCTTGGCTCCAGCTCAGGGGGACCTGCCTGAACTGGACCAGGATGGAGACCCAGCCCACTCCTCCGGGCTGTCCTCCAGGCAGGCACCCACTGTGGGAGCCAGGGCCTCAGCAGGCCGGGCTGGGTCCCTCCATCTACTCTGGGGAGAAAACCGTGTCCGATCAGTGGTTGTCCTCTAGGAGTAGATTTGTGGTTTTGATGGGAATGATTGGCTGCTTAATGGTTGATTTGGTTATTTTAGGTCACTCGGTTCTCTAATCAGCATCCATGAGTCCCTGGACCAATGGGCCGGAACAGGGCCGTCCTAGGTGTTGATTACTGACGTTCTGCCTTGCTACTCTGCGCTGCCTCAGAGATCACTGCAGCACACACCGGTGCTGTGTGCAAACAGCCCACAGTTGCTACCCCGGCTCTCTCGTTTTCCAGAGTGGAGCATATTCTATGTGACGGGGCTGGCTTGTGCTCTCCTAGTGCTGGCGGGAGGCGTGACGTGGCTGTGCATCTGCTGCTGTCTCAGGTACGTGCTGGTGCGCCTGTCCACGCAGAGCCAAGGTGCCTCCCTGGGCACCGTGTCTTGCCGTGGTGGGCTTGCTGAGGTGTCTTAAGTCGCGGACCTGTCTGACGGTCGCTTTTATGAAGACAAGCTAGTCCAAGAATTCGATGCACATCTGGCCCCAGGTGCAGGAGCCTGCAGAAGTGGATTAGTACTGGAGGCTGCCTCTCTTCTGAAGGCTGTCACTTTCCAGAGGGTCCAAGTTCTCCCTCAAATCCAGTGTTATCCTCACGCGCTCAGGTCACTTCCCCAGAGCAGAACCCTGGTGGCCTTAGAGGTCTCAGTGGAGAAGAGTTCTACAAGAAAACCGGTACAGACTTCTAGAAGAAGACTTCAGTTGTTATTGCATGAAACAACATCCTGATCCATATGAATCCCTTGTGTTTTTAG